GTGGTAGTGGTTGTAACTACCATTCTGAAATCTCTCTACATTGCCACCGGGAAAATACTGTTAAATTGCAGATGTGACTATTACACCGTCCCTTGGCTGTGCATTCTTAGTGAAGAAGTTAATGGGGAAAATAAGAGGCATTGACTAATGTAATTTTCTGAGTCTCAGTCTCCTCATCTGTAAAATCAAAACAGCAGCTAACATGGAGTGAGATCCCCTGTCTAACACCCCTGCTGTTACAGCTGGTACCTGATAGACAGCTGGGACAGACGACTTCATGTGTAAATTTCTAGGTAGGGATTCCTCTTAGCGTTATCTGAAGTTTCTCTGTCTCTTTCTTTGGCCTTCCTTTTTGTCCTTGATTGATTTTATTGAGAGTATACGTTTTAAGTGATCGCAGTTCAGTTTGAGCATAATTAAAACCTGGTGGGTTGTTATGAAAGTTAGCATGCAGTTTTGACATGTGCCTGGATTTTTTGAGACAGTCTCACTATGCCACGCTCCGTAGATTGCCATGGCGTCACAGCTTATACCAACCTCAAACTCTTGGGCTTAAGTGACTCTCTTGCCTCAGCCTCCCAAGTAGCTGAGACTACAGGCGCCCACCACATGCCCAGCTATTTTTTGTTGTTGTTGTCATTTTTGTTCAGAGGCTCTGGCTGAGTTCAAACCCACTAGCTCTGGTGCATGTGGCCAGCGCCCTAACCACTGAGCTAGGGCACTGAGCCAGCCTGGATATTTAATCAGGCACATTCTTAATAAATCTCAACTGTTCTCATCCACCCAAATTACTTTACAGGTTAATAGTGTCATTACTTTCTCTTTAATCATTTTAGCAGCTACTTCATTTTTATATGCTATAAAGGCAACAGCCCCAACCTTTTTGGCACCAAAGACCAGTTTCATGGAAGACAGTTTCTGTGGGCTCAGGGTAAGGGGACTGGGGGTTGAGGATGATTCAAGCACATTCTATTTATTGTGCACTCTATTTCTATTATTATTACATTGTCACATACGATGGAATAGTTACACAGTTCACCCTAAGGCAGAATCAGTAGGAGCCCAGTGCTGGACCCTTCATAGGTGCAGTTTACAGTAGGGTCAAGCTCAGGCAGTGATGAGAGCAGTGGGAGAGCCATAAATACAGATGAAGCTTCCCTTGTAGCAGCTCACCTCCTGCTGCACGGCATGTTTCCCCACAGGCCACGGACGAGTACTGCTAGTCCTGGTCCATCATTGGGGACTGTACGGTAAGGGATATTCCATTTTAATCTCAAGTCCTCTGATCATTTTCATCAGCTAATCTGTTTATCAATATTTATTCAAAATATGCTCTGGGTCATATAAGAAATAGACATTTTTCAGCCAGGCATAGTGGCTCATGCCTGTAATCCTGGCACTCCAGGAGGCTGAGGTGGGAGAGGATCCCTTGAACTCAAGAGTTTGAGACCACCCTAAGCACAATTGAGACCCAAACTCTACGAAAAATAGAAAAATTAGCCTGATGTTGTGGTGCACACCTGTAGTCCCAGCTACTCAAGAGACTGAGCCAGGAGGTTTGAGGCTGAGGGTTGAATTTTTTTTTTTTTTTTTTTTTTGAGTCAGAGCCTCAAGCTGTTGCCCTGGGTAGAGTACTGTAGCATCACTGCTCACAGCAACCTCCAACTCCTGGGCTCAAGCGATTCTCTTGCCTCTGCCTCCAAGCTATTTTTTGGTTGCAGCCATCATTGATGTTTGGCAGGCCCAGGCTGGATTCGAACACACCAGCTCAGGTGTATGTGGCTGGCACCTTAGCTGCTTGAGCCACAGGCGCTGAGCCTAGTTTTTATATTTATAGTTTTTGATTTTGTTTTTTAGTCTAGTGAATTGAGAGATAAGATACTATACCTTTTCTAGTGTGAATAAATAGCCAATATTTATTGAATGCTTACTTTCTAACAGAATTGTGCCATTTAATTCTTTTGACTATCTTGGAAGTATAATTTCCATGATTCCTGCTTTTCAGATGACAAAACTGAAGCATTAGAGAGGTAATAACTTGACTGAAATGTAGCACCTGACTGCTGAATGGAGGAATGAAAATTCAAAGCCCAGGATTTGTCTGACTTAAACTGTTCTATTTTATCCTCTATGCTGTCTACCTAGGCACCCAATTATGAAACAAAATCATAGGATTTTTTTATTCACTTACAGCATATAATGCAACAACACTTTGTATGTATTTATTTCATCAGTAATTTGGAATAAAAGAGTAGCAAATAGATCACTTCTGAATTACTGAATAGTTCAAATTATAAGCTGTTAGACAAATACATTTTTATTACTTTTAAAAGCTGCATAAATTCTAAATTGGTAATTATAATTAAGTAATACCGGTCTCAAGAATTTTAAATGAGCTCCAAATTAAGTATATAACTATGTACATATATGGGGAGAAATGAAGTTTTTAAAAAACATAATTATGTATGAACATTTCAGGTTGTTTTCTGGCTTCAGAACTGTATGTACTTTATATGACTTTTTCAAATAATGTGATTTCCAAATTTTCTCTCAATGAATGATGCTATAGTTAGTATAGGCATACTTCAGCGACACTGAACGCTCATGTTGAGGCTACCACAGGACAGCAGATTGCAATAAGTGAGTTACACAAATTTTTTGGTTTTCCAGTGCTTATAAAATTTATGTTTACACAATATATAGTGTAAGTATTTAGTTGCATTATTTCTTTTTTGAGACAGTGTCTCACTCTGTGGTTCTGGGTAGAGAGCTATGGAATCATAGCTCACAGCAACCTCCAACTCTTGGGCTCAAGTGATTCTTTTACCACAGCCTCCTGAGTAGCTGGGACTATCACTGTCTACCACCTGGTTAGTTTTTCTATTTTATCCCTTGGATAACATGTGGCCTTAGCACTGGGGAATGTAGTATAGTATCTGTTGTTGAAGGCTTCACTTCACCCATTTTAAGGGTGAGATAGTCTCCTTTAACTCTCTGATGAAAGTGTTCTCCAGATTGCCTTATAATTTCTTATCTTTTTTTTTTTTTTTTTAAGAGACAGAGTCTCAATTTATTGCCCTCAGAGTGCCATGGCATCACAGCAACCTCCAGCTCTTGGGCTTAGGTGATATTCTTGCCTCAGCTTCCCGAATAGCTGGGACTATAGGTGCCTGCCACAAAGCACAGCTATTTTTTGTTGCAGTTTGGCCCAGGCCAGGTTTGAACCTGCCACCCTCGGTATATGGGGCCGGTGCCCTACCCACTAAGCCACAGGTGCCACCCGCCTTTTAATTTCTTATCTTCATACCTTTGTTCATGAAGATGGTCCCTGAATTATGTCACTTGCTCTGAGGGCATGTTTCCTCCCTCAACCACATGATCCAGAGTAAGCACTCTTGAAAGCCAGACTTTAAAAGTAGAATCTAGTTTCTTGAGATGGAGCAAATGAACGATATACACTTTTGTAGTCATTTGGGTTATTTTTATTTTTTGAGACAGAGTCTACTTTTGTCTTGGGTAGAAAGAGTACCATGGCATCATAGCTCACAACAACCTCAAACTCCTGGGTTTGAGTGATCCTCTTGTCTCAGCCTACCAAGTAGCTGTCACTAGAGGCAGCTGCCCACAATGTCCAGCTAATTTTTTCTACTTTTAGTAGAGACGGGGTCTCTCTCTTGCTCAGGCTGGTCTGGAATTCCTGAGCTCAAGCGGTCCACTCACCTTGGCCTCGCAGTGTAGTAGAATTACAGATGTGAACCACTGCACCTGGCCTATACTTTTATATATAGCACTCAAATGTTGTTCTTGTTCTTAGTTCAATAAGGGGTAGATTAGCAAATACCTTAAATGAGGGTTTGCATGGTAGACGGATCCTAGCTGTCTAGTATTTCATTGTAACTAGTCCTTTTCAGGAAGATTATGTGCTGCAGGTTTATATTTGAACTGTTGTCACTCACTGTGGTCAAGATAATGAATTACTTTAGTGGGTTTAGCCGACTGTTTTTCTTTCTTTTTTACTCACCACTATACTGACAAGGACCCTTTATGTTTTCTCCTGTGATGTCAGACAGGTAATAGATCCAGATTGATCATTTTATCTTCTCAAATTAGAATAGGGCCCATTTTTATTCATCTTAAAATCTTTGGGTTTTTTTCTTTTTGGGGGATAGTCTCATTATGTCACCCTCAGTAGAGAACTGTGGTGTCACAACTCACAGCAACCTCAGACTCATGAGCTTAAGCAATTCTCTTGCCTTTTGCCTCTCAAGTAGCTGGGACTACAGGCACCCACTACAATGCCCAGCTATTTTTTGTTTGCAGTTGTCATTATTGTTTAGCTGGCCTGGGCCAGCCTCAAACCCGCCAGCCTTGGTGTATGTGGCTGGCTCCCTGCACACTGAGCTACGGGTGCTGAGCCAGGTTTATTTTTCTTTTCTAATTTCTCTCCTTTTTACCCTTTCCCTGTCTTTTCCCCTATACATTTACTTGCATAGAACATTCAGAAGGGATAATTATGTAATGGACTGTTTAGTATTTAAATTGGCATTACCCATTGCATGCTTACATTTAGAAATAGGAATAATGTACCTATTGACAAAGATGAAATGACAATAAATTATCAAATGTGAAGCATTTAGAAACCTGTCTGGCACATAGAAAACATTTATCATTGTTTATATTTATTTGTAGCTTATTAAACCATTCATTGACTCCATTGATTGAATAGTTTGGAGGGGAGTTAGGGAGAATATATTTTAATACATTCCCTACCTTGAGGGTGGCACCTGTGGCTCAAGAAGTAGGGCGCTGGCCCCATATACTGGAGGTGGTGGGTTCAAACCTGGCCCTGGCCAAAAACTGCAGCATTCCCTACCTTGAAGGTTCTCACCACCATCTTTCAGTTTTTTATTGAGCACACTGGCCACATAACAGTGATCTAAATCTCCTTCTAGTTTAACTACTAAACCACCAATTAATACTTTATTTTATGTATTTTTTAGGACATTTCTGATTCATTTGCATCTTTGAAGAGCATCTGTAGAAGAGGAAGGAAAAGATGGGTGTGAAAACATTTACTCATAGCTCCTCTTCCCACAGCCAGGAAATGCTTGGAAAGTTAAACATGCTGCGAAATGATGGACATTTTTGTGATATCACTATTCGTGTCCAGGACAAAATCTTCCGTGCACATAAGGTAGTACTAGCAGCTTGCAGTGATTTCTTTCGCACCAAACTTGTAGGCCAAGCAGAGGATGAGAACAAGAATGTGTTGGATCTGCATCATGTCACAGTGACTGGCTTTATACCCCTCCTAGAATACGCTTACACAGCCACTCTGTCAATTAATACAGAAAATATTATTGATGTTCTAGCTGCAGCTAGCTATATGCAAATGTTTAGTGTTGCTAGCACCTGCTCAGAGTTCATGAAATCAAGCATTTTATGGAATACACCCAACAGCCAACCAGAAAAGGGTCTAGATGCTGGACAAGAAAATAATTCTAACTGCAATTTTACTTCTCGAGATGGAAGCATTTCTCCAGTGTCTTCAGAGTGCAGTGTGGTAGAGCGAGCCATTCCCGTCTGCCGAGAATCCCGGAGAAAGCGCAAAAGCTACATTGTTATGTCTCCTGAAAGTCCGGTAAAGTGTAGCACCCAAACAAATTCACCCCAGGTATTGAATTCTTCAGCTTCCTACTCAGAAAATAGAAATCAGCCCGTTGACTCTTCTTTAGCTTTTCCCTGGACTTTTCCTTTTGGAATTGATCGAAGGATTCAGCCTGAGAAGGTTAAGCAGGCAGAAAGTACACGGACTTTAGAATTACCTGGCCCATCTGAGACAGGTAGAAGAATTGCTGATTATGTGACTTGTGAAAGCACAAAAACTACCTTGCCTCTGGGTACGGAAGAAGATGTCCGGGTCAAAGTAGAAAGGTTAAGTGATGAGGAGGTCCATGAGGAGGTGTCCCAGCCTGTCAGTGCGTCTCAGAGTTCGCTGAGTGATCAGCAGACAGTGCCAGGAAGTGAGCAAGTCCAAGAGGACCTCCTGATTAGTCCGCAGTCTTCCTCCATAGGTATCACGTCTTCTTTGTTTTCCATGATGCCGTAAGGTTAACGTAAGAGTTAGTTAATTACATAAATGGTTTTCTGCTTGGTCTTGTAGGAAGTAGAAGAAAGAGTAAAACATGGTAACTGGATTTTTGAAGGTGCTGTTAGCACTACAGTTTCTTTTGTTCCAAGTTACTGTTGGGGAAGGAAAGAAATATTTGAACAGTATCTGATGGGACAGAGTCTTAGACAAGAATTACAAGTTAACTTTCAATGCAAAAAATTCCAGTTAGTGTTTTATTCCTTATTAAAATATTTAAAACTTACCATAGGTCAGACAATGTTTATAAACATGTAGAAAAACACCTGGTCCCTGCAAAGGAGTGAATAGTCTAACAGGGAAGTAGATGTGTGAGTGAGTGATGACAGTAAGCTCTTGTTAAAAGTGCTAAGCTAGATAGTTGAGCTGAGTCTTAATGCAGTTGGTAGGAATTGGCCTAAATGAAGGAATGATATTTTTCTTTTTTCTCTTTTTTGGAGACAGTCTTACTTTATCACCCTAAGTAAGCAACCTCAAACTCTTGGGCTTATGCGATTCTCTTGCCTCAGCCTCCCAAGTAGCTGGGACTTCAGGCACTTGACACAACACCTGGCTATTTTTTGTTGCAGTTGTCGTTGTTTTAGCTGGCCCGGGCCGGGCTTGAACCCACCAGCCTCGCTGTATGTGGTTGGTGCCATAACCACTGTGCTACAGGTGCTGAGCCCAGGGTTTTGTTTTTATCACCTAAAGTTGCTCAGAAGTAGGAAGTCCAGTACTGGCACAGTGGATCTATACTGTAATCAGTGGTCTAAGCCCCTAGTTTGTTTTTAACCTACTATCACTGCTTTGTCAGTTTTACCCATACATTCATTGCTTCATGGCTATAATATGCTTGCTTCTTTAGCTTTGTACTGTAGAAAGGGACAGTGCTGGTATCAAGAAATGTTCCCCGAAATCCCTAAAAAACCTCTGCCAGACTGTATCACATGACTGTTCTTAGCTTCAAGGGAATCTGGGACTATAATGTGTATTAATCGGGTACAAACTGTTTCAAACAGAATTAGAACAGAAGGCCAGGTGTGAGGCTCTCGGAGGCTGCGGCAGGTGGATTGCTTGAGCTCAGGAGTTTGAGGCCAGGTTGAGTAAAAGTGAGACCCTATCTCTACTAAAAATGGAAAAATGAGAAGGGCATTGTGATGAGTGCTGTAGTCCCGGCTACTTGGGAGGCTGAGGAGGCAAGAGGATTGCTCAAGCCCAAGAGTTTGAGGTTTCTGTGAGCTATGATCCCACAGCACTCTACCCAGAACCACAGAGTGAGACTCTGTCTCAAAATAAAAAGAACAAAATGGAGATTGAATATGCAACTATCTGTGTCTGCTACAGGTAGGTAGATTTTACCTTAGTGGTAGTCTGGGGTCTTCCTTCAGGGGAGTGAAAAATAAAACATGCAGATATTTTGAGACAATTAGTTTGGTATTGGTGTGCAGGGAATCTAAAACAGTCTGAAAACCCAGTTATAGTAGTTATCTTGGAGGGAATAAAGACTAAAATTATACATAAAGAAAACTGGTTGGGTGAGGCTTTATTAAAAAAATAATGCCTGATAATATTGACTATGTAGATTGAAGGAACAGGAGAAGCCAGAATACTGACGACCAGGAATCATGGTCGGTTTATTGACTCTAAGTCACAGAGTTTCATATTTTGGTATCTCTGAATCCGGATGTTACAATCTTTTAGTTATATTTTTTGTTCTTTGTGGTATAAAAAATAACAATATAATGGATAGCATATTAGCATATATTAAATGCTGGAACTGCAGTATGAACATTAGTAGGAGGGAGGAACTCAGAGTTTGAGGATTGTGAGGTAATTTTTTTTTTTAAAGTAACCTACCAAGGGGGAAGGTGCCAGAAACTGTTTTCAAATGTCCCTGAACACCCTGCCATTGGTGTCATTGGCATGCAACTCTTGAAGAGACAGGGTCCCCGTCTTGCCCAGGCTGGAGTGCAGTGTGGCATAATCATAGCTTACTGCAGCCTCGAAGTCCTGAGCTCAAGTGATCCTCCTGTGTTAGCCTGCCAAGTGGCTAGGACTACAGGCAGGCACTATAATGCCCAGCTAATTTTTCTGTATTTGTCTAGAGATGGGATCTTGCTGTTTTGCCCAGTCTTGTCTTAAACTCATGGCCTCATGCTTTTGCTTCCCAAAAGTGTTGGGATGGTAGGCTTGAGCCACCATACTTGGGTGAACTCAGTTTTGAGAGTAATTCAGCAAAGTCAATTTTGTGTCAGTTATGCTTATAGGAGGACAAAGCAATGTCCTACCACAAAGCCACTGAAAAGGTATGATTGTTAAGATGACCAATATGAAACTTGTCCCACATAGCAATGGGAAATTCAATCTCAGCAGGGAAAATATATAACCTTAGTCCCAAGGGACTAATCCTTGGGAAGTGTCTGTATTCAGGGTTTCAAGAAATAGAAGATAAGCCAACAGTGAAAGTATGGATTTGTCCAAAAGACTGTAGAACCAGGAAGGCTTATTAACATTGTTAATACCTTGTGTTTTGTCCGTCCGTGTGAGTTTCCCAAGGCTGCTGCAGCAAAGTACCTCAAACTGAGTGGTTTAAAACAAGGAAATTCATTCTCTCCTGGAGGGGAGACAAAAAGTCTGAAATAAAAGTGTCAGCAGGTCTTTGCTTGCTCCCTTTGCAGACAATAGAGAAGAATCCTTCCTTACCTCTTGCAGCTGCTGGCAGTTGCCAGCAATCCTTGATGGTCCTTGGATTGTAGCTTCCTTGTTCCAATATCCACCATCTGCTTCCACCTCCACATAACCTTTCCTGTGTCTCTGTTACCTGATGCAAGTCTCAGTCTCTCCCTCCCCCCCACGCCTCTCTCCATCTCTCTTTGCTCTGTTGCCCAGGCTGGAATCATCATAGCTCCTTACAACCTCAAAGTGCTAGCTTTTGGGCACAAGGGATCTTTGTGCTTTAGCCTCCTGAGTAGCTGGGACTACATGCCACCACACCCAGATAATTATTTCTGTTTTTTTTTTTTTTAAATAGAGAAGAGGCTTGCTATGTTGCTCAGGCTGGGCCTGAACACCTGGCCCCAAGTGATTTTCCCAGCTCAGCCTCTTCCAGAGTGCTAGGATTACAAGTGTGAGCCACATCATTCGACCACCCATCTTTGGATTTAGGGCCCACCCTAATCCAGTACAACCTCATTTTAACTTGATTATAATCATCTGCAAAGACCCTATCTCCAAATAAGGGCACATTAATTGGTAGCAGAGGTTAAGATTTCAACATATCCTGCAGGGGGCACAGTTTTACCCATAATATCCACTGAAGTTCATATTCCCGAATTTAAGTCAGGATGCTTTTGGAAAATTAAGTGACAAACACGCATCCCTTGTAGTGTTGAATGGCAGGAAATCATAGCTGTTTGTTGATCTGACCCAGTTTTTATTAAGCCAGAGTCTTTTTTTTTATTAAATCATAACTTTGGGCTCGGCGCCTGTGGCTCAAGCGGCTAAGGCGCCAGCCACATGCACCTAAGGTGGCAGGTTCGAATCCCCAGCCCGGGCCTGCCAAACAACAATGATGGCTGCAACCAAAAAATGGCCAGGCGTTGTGGCGGGCGCCTGTAGTCCTAGCTACTTGGGAGGCTGAGACAGGAGACTCGCTTGAGCCCAGGAGTTGGAGGTTGCTGTGAGCATGATGCCATGGCACTCTACCCAGGGGGATAGCTTGAGGCTCTGTCTCAAAAAAAAAAAAAAAAAAAATCATAACTTTGTACATTGATGCATTTATGGGGTTCGAGGTACTGCTTCAATATACAATGTGAAATGTTTACATTGAACTAAGTAAGGCCAGAGTCTTTAATCTTCAAAACACCTGGTGCTTTCTGAATGATAAACTGCTTAATGAATAATCACTATTTTAATCATTTATCAGTTCATGGTTATATAGACAAGTTATGAACATAAGTAGAATATATCTTTCAGTTACAGAATTTTAATTTATTGCCTGTATATTATTATGAATGTGGATTCTGTTGTAAATTAGACATGGGAATAACTCCATCTATCGTGTTAGGTATTCCAAATGAGTTCTTCCTTTCCTTTATAGCAGATGTACCAGTCATTCTTAAAAAACCTATTTTAACTCCAAATTTATACACTAAAAGCTATACAGGCAAAAAGTAAATTCCTGAAGTGTTATAGGCAATTAATAAATGTGGGAAGGAGAGAAAGAAAATGTTCATGGTACTTTACCCTCATAGTTCATAAGAATACTGTTATCACTTTACTTAATTCCATACTTAATTTTACTTACTAATTTATTAAAGAAGATGTTTGAGAGGGACTAAAAACATAACATTAATTTACTATTTAGAAATTCTTTTTTTTTTTTTTTTTGAGACAGAGCCTCAAGCTGTCTCCCTGGGTAGAGTGCCATGGCATCACAGCTCACAGCAACCTCCAACTCCTCGGCTCAAGCCAGTCTCCTGCCTCAGCCGCCCAAGTAGCTGGGATCACAGGCGCCCGCCACAACGCCCAGCTGTTTTTTGGTTGCAGCCGTCATTGTTGTTTGGTGGGCCCAGGCTGGGTTCGAACCCGCCACCTTAGGTGTATATGGCTGGCACCTTAGCCTCTTGAGCCACAGGTGCCAAGCCACTATTTAGAAATTCTAAAACAATTCAATTACCCACAAAATTCAAATGGGATTTTTACCTATTTTAAGTTTTCCTTGTTGCCATTTGCCATGGGAAAGTTTGTAAAATCCAGCACCTTCAACTCAGAGCAAATAGAAACAATAAATACAGCAAATTTAAGGAAAAGAAAAAACTGCTGAGTTTATGTTTGGCCTTGATCCTTGAAAAGATGATTCCCTGTTCCTCCTAGCACCACTCCTATCCTGGGCAGAGCACTCTATGGACTTGACTGTTCTAGATATTTTATATTAGGTGAGATTGT